ACCTGACTCCTTCCTGAAGGCAGATGGTCCACCTGCCCATCGTGAAAGCAGCATGCAGGTAGGATTTATCTGCCAGCTTTCCTCAAGGGTGCGTATTCAGCTATCCCAAAGACCACCTTTATCCATCTCCTATCCCCATAGCAACATGCTGCACCTTATTTCTGCCACTTCCTCCCTTGTCCAGAGCAATTAACTTCTGATCCATGCCCACCACTGAGAAGGATGTAGAAATAGTGAAGGAATTTCAAAAGGGAGCTGCAAGCAGAAGCCACAGCTGACTGTAAGACTTACGCTATGAGATTTAAGAAGGAAAAAAGTATTTATCATGACAGAGAGGAGATAGCAAGAGGATCTGATCACTCTGTACAGACACATACACAGAGAAAAGAAGTCTGCTGGCAGGAGGGATTTAGACCTTTCTGACAAGGATGGAGCGAAAGCAACAACTTTCATCTTGAAATCAGAGGCAACTTCTCAGCAGAGAGGGTTACTGGAAATAAGAATAGCTCAGCAGGGGAGATGGTGGACTCCTCACCTCCTGCAGCCTGTAATATGAGATAAGAGAGCCTGCTGAAGGACACGTTTAAACCACTTTCTGTGAAAAAATGCTAGTACATGTATGTGACATTAGGGAATGCAGGGCAGAACAGGGGCAGGCTGGCTGAGGCATTGCACTGAGGGCTCTGCAGGCAAGCCTTGGGGTCTCCCAGCACTTGTTCCCTTCTTCACTGGACACGGGAAGGACACATAATGTCCACGCTGGTAAGAGAATAAAGGAATCGAGATAAAGCTTCAGGATTTCACTGGGAGCTATGCCGGGGTCAGGAAGGAAACGTGCCTTGCACCACACAACCGCTCTGTGTTGTAATTCACCTTCCCTTGATGTATAAGGGGTTTGCCATGCTTGGAGCAAGACTGGGCCCTTTCCATGAGGTAACATCAAGCACCCTGTATCTAAGCTGTTCATCTGCTGTGTTTGACTCAAAATCAAATTGGTGTTGGGAGGTATTTTTTTCTAGGTGAGACTGGCTAGTCTCAGGGAAAGGCAGAAGATGCCTTGAGCATCCTAAAAAAAGCCCATATAAAGCATTAAATGGAAGAAGCTGACTAGGCTGCAGAGAGCAAATGGAATGGGGCAGCCCATGAAAATGCTCCTTGCACCTCCAAGGCTTTCCCTTGCCACTTTGCAGCTGGACAGTGAAGCCACTGGTTGAAGTGAATGATCAAGTTCTACGGTAGAGACCTGGCCACTGCTGCCCATCAGCCAGTCAGGGACCCACAAGAGAAACACCACAGGTCAACAGGCTTTGCTGCCAGGAGAGGCACCTTGAGCGGTCTCAAGGGCAGGGCCAAAGGCTGAAGTGAGCCCATGTCCCAGGAAAGGTGGTGATCAGGATCCTGGGCTTGGTTCTTGGGAGATTTTTTCCTCCAGGCCAAGGAGAGAGGATGTGCATGGTGCTGTATAGACACAACCTGCTCTGATGGGCCTCAGGCAGCACCCAGGAGGCTGCATTTGCCTGGGAGAGGCAGGGAACAGATGTCCAGGCAATATGTGCTGTCCTCATGGCAGACAACTCAATGCTGGCTGCGCTGTGCACAAAAGCCTGAGCAGGCACTAGCTGGGAGGACAGAGTGGGGATGGAGGTACTTATCTTGACCTGAGCATGTCTCAGCCCATTGGGGGTGACCTTGGGATATCAACATAAGTGTCCATCCACTTTGTGAATGGTCCCCGACCATGGAGCACCCTGGGCCAGAGGGAAGGAGAGGAAACACCAGCATCTCTACCCAGGACAAATTTTCACACCAGCACAGACACAGTTCATAAATTGACCCTGCATAAATTTGGTGCCTGGAAGAAAGAAAGCAAACCAAATAAAACCTGCTTGGGAAATGGCCCTCTTCCCTTTGCTGAATAAAGTTTAACAATTGAAAATATGTAAACAACCCCCTCCTCCATCTGATTTTCTCCCCCAACACCTACTTTCCATATAAAAGGAATCCAAACCAGACTCCCCTTGATTAATTACACCCACTTTTGGGGGAGCAGAGGAGGGCACTCGCACAGGAAATAAAAACACAATGCAGATTGCATTTTGTAGCACCTTTCCTGTTAACTCGCCAAGGCATTTCCCAGCATATGCTAACATAAAATAAAACACACTAAAAATAAAACCAAGCTAAAAATAAACATAATGGAGGAAATGAACAATGTTCCCCTGGTTCAGTATATAGCCTGTACCAAGGAAAACAGGACGGACTGTGGCTCAGTTTTAAAATACAAAGAAAAGGATGAAAGCTGGAGAGTTTGAGTTCCCTGGGTGGGAACTCGTTAAAAGTTTGATTTCTGCTTGAACTCATAAGGTTGTGATTGGGTAGAGAAAGCAAAGAAGAGCCTTGAGCTGCTGGCAGAGACAGTAGCGTAGGGTTGCTGGTAGTGAGGTGCAAGGGAGGGACATCATGCTGCTTTGGTCTGCAAGTGTTCTTCCAACCTTCAGTTGCCTCAAGCAAGTCCGAAAGCAGAAGGCAACTCTTTTTGCAAAACAAGGATGTACTTTTCCAGCGTCAAATGCCTGCTGCATCCTGACCTGGAGATGGCTGCATTTCACCAGCAAAAACATGATCTCTTTGTTTTCCCCAGCTTGCAAAGCACTTTGAGATCCTTCAAGATGAAAGATGCTACAGAAATACCAAGCTGTCATATGTTTATTATTTTGGCAATGAGCATTTCTAGACTGAAGTCAGGAAACCTGGTTTCTTTGTTGCTTTTGTTACTGTCCCTTTCTTGGGTTATTTTAGGAAAGCACTCACATGCACGTACTGTGTATATGAGGCTGGGTGCGTGCAAACGGTCAATTCAATTCTTTACAGGAGTAACACAGATCTTCTGTGATCTTTTACAGTCAAATGTCTCTAAACCTCTCAAGATCTTATATTCCTGGATTTTTATAGGGATTTTTTTCCCCAGACCCCACCTGCCTTATATGAAATTGATTATTAGCCCTTAAAAATAAAAATACTGCTGCTTTGCAGACGAAATAGATTTTTAAAATGTAATAAGGGGGGGATACTTGCATGTTTCCTGACTTAACAGGGGCAGATCCTTTACTATTAGTGAGACTATGGGAGACTGTAAGCCTAACCCTCCTCTAAATATTCAAGCCTTTTGTCCAGAAAAGCAATACTATAAATAGCATTTCCTACTCCAAAAACTCTGGGGATCTGATTTACTCTGAGTGTTTGCTAAGGGCATGTGTGTAACCTGCAATTCAGCATACCGCAGTTAAACCAAGGCCACTGGGAGCCCGCAGGACGACAGTGAGAGGAGGAAGAGAAAATGCAAGGATCCTGCTGGGTCCTGCCATGCCCACATGAAGGGGACAGCACACAGCTCTCGGCACTTTGGCAATATGGGAACTGGCTTGTGCTTCAGCTATAATGAGACTTTTAAGAGAAAAACATCTACTTTCCTCTCTATTTGTCCCTATATGAGCTTCTTCCCATCCATAGGCAACGCTCAGATGTGTCCTGTTAGTCTATTCCTCCTTGCAGTCACTTCTGAGGGGGAGGGGAAAGCTCTCAAGCAAAGAGAGTGCAAAACTATTTTAAAGGATGAGAAAATGTAATTGAAAAACCACATCAGTTGGCTGGGGCCTTAGAAGCATGTGTGTACATAGCTGTAACGGCTACCAGGAGGAAACAGACTGCATTTCAGGTGGACACTGATCCTTTAATGTAAGGCTGAGAATAATATTTATATGCTGACTCACTAAGATTTATGTTTCCGTATAAATCACGCATGCACTTAAAAAAAAAAAAAAAAAAAAAAATTTTGTTTTCTATAAAAACACCCAGGAACTTAAAAAAAAAAAAAAAAAAAAAAAAGCAACTGCAGGATATTCATGGCTTCCAGAACTCTACATAAATCAATTGTACCATGATCCCCCAAGCTTTTAGACAAACACATGCACACTCATTCGTTATTGGGGATGTTTATCCGTCCAGGGCCACCAACAGAAGAATAATGACAGTAGCAGCAATGCGATGACCTTAGCCAAAGACCTTCGCTCCTAACGCCCCCACAGCTCCAGCAAAGCTTGGACCCAAAATCAGTATTCCCAGTGGTGCGGTTTGAGTAACTGGCTGAACCAGAGCCCTGGATCGACACACTTGTAACTTCAGGGAGCCTGGGATCCAAAAGTAAAGCCAGACTTGTCAGGTCTGGCTGTCGTCAGCCCCACTACCCCTGTAGGACAGAGCTGAGCACCATCCTTTTGTTCCTCTGTGGGACCGTGCCTCTGCTTGGCACGCTTTCTGCCTTGTTTATTTAGTCTATCTTGGATGACGGTCCTTCCCCGTCCCTTTGCCAGCACAACTCTCTCCGAGAGCAGTGCCCGTTCTGCAAACGCTGCCTCTCATTTGCTGCTTTACGAAGACAGGCAGACGCCGACGAGCACCAGACATCAATAAATTAAAGTGCCATTGCTACTGTTACTGTTACTGCTGCATTACGATGGGAGCGGCGTGAGACTTGGTGAGGAGCCTGGAATGGATGGGAAGCCAGCATGGGGAGGAGGAGATGGAGAGCTGCAGCTGGGGAAGCTTCATCCCCACTTCCTACAGTGTGGGGAAGACTAGGATGGATGGAGACTGAGTTTATAAATCACATGCAGAAGCAGCCTGCATTTCAGCTTCAGTAGCAACACTCAGCAATAATTCCTTAGCAGAGGGAGCTTGATTTTCCCAGCAGGGAACAGTCCTTTAATGCAGTTTTGTGCAGATACACAGGCCACACACAAAATCTATTTTCCTGCTTTCCTCCGTACAGTGAGATAAGCAAATCAAGTCTCATTACACCGCATTTCCCAACAGCACCTGAGCCACCTGAGAATAGTCAGAAAACACTCAGTGAATAGATAAACTCCAGAACTGAAGCACAAAGCCCCAGAGGAGCGAGGTACTCTGGGTGCCAGTCAGGAAGTCCCCCAAGGAGACCATACCTGTAGCGCTGGTGGCCATGTCCCTCCTCGTGTTGCAGGAGGCAGGTGGTGGGGTCAGAGCCAGGCTGAGCTGTTGTCCGCAAGGCCACAGCTGCGATGCCCACAAGTGGGGAGGAGAAGTTGAGCAGCACCGAAGCAGCCCAGTGGGATGGGTCCTCCGGGCCATGGGTCACATTGATGACAAGTGGGTTGTGCTGGCATGACAACTCATACATCCCTGCAAGACAGAGCAAAGAAAGAAGCCGCTAACTCAGGTCCAGGGATATTTTCTCTGCTTTACCCCTTCTGGTCCCCTACACATCCCAACAGACCAGCTTGGGAAGCAGAAGATGCTGCAAGGCGGGGACAGTGGACACCAGCACCCAACTCAGTGAGAGATTACAGCAATGGTGGGGGCTCCTGGTGTCCCTGCCGGGACAGCACAGACTGCTGCCACAGCCCATAGGATGCTCACCCAAAGAGTGGTTCATCCCATCTACATCACTCAGCTGGACAGTCACCCTCGGCTTGCGCTGGTTGCTTGGGACGGTGCCGTCAGAGGCCAGGAAGAGCAGGAGGGAAGTGGGCACCACGGGTCTCTCAAAGCACACCTGGGCAGGAGGGCAAGAGAAACCCCGAGACTGTGCATACCAAATACAGGTTTTCTGGTCCCATACATGCAAGAGGAAGAGAAAGAGGGAGTACAGGGAGAGAGCAGGAGCAGGGTTAGGAGGTCAGAGATGGCAGATGTGCAGGGCAAGCAGATAGGAAGAGAGAGGAGGGAAGAAAGGGTGCAGCAACACAGTCCTTTTCTTCCTTTCTCCTTCTCCCTTTCACTAGTCTTCCCCACGTGTATCAGTCCTGCCTTGCCATAAGTTTATGGCATCCTCCAAATTTACTGCTCTTAAAATTGAGCAACACCTGACCGAGATCTGGATAACCCCTTTTCTGCCCTCCCTTCCCCAGGCTCCGACTCCTACCCTGCACGGTGCTGGTCGGGCAAGCAAGGCACCCAGAGAGCACAGCTGCCAGCCCTGCCACTGAAATATTTCCAGTAAAAAAGAAAACAAACCAGCCCAAAAAACAAAGAACAGTTCATGTATCCAGAGTAACTGCAAACTGTCCGTCAGCCAACATGAGGAAAGATTTGTGGGAAGAAGTCCTGCCTGTTAGGAGACCTGACAGCTCCCCACTTGTCTACAGCCCCGAAGGCTACAGGAGGCAGCCGGGAAACTCGCAGCATCAGTCATGGCAAGGCAGATGTTCTTTGGAAGTAAGAGGATAGAAATGTTTTTCTCCCCCACCCTCGTGCCCCCCACCCACTGCCAAGATGTGTTTTGGTCAAGACCCACCCTGTGGAGCGTTTTTGTTGAATGCCGGCATGGAGGGAGCCCAGAAACGCAAGGCAAAAGTGTATGTCGGAGGAAGACAAGTCCTGGCTGGCCAGGCAGAGCCCAGGGAGCAGACTGTGGGAGCAGAGGGGACAACCACCCAATTCATGATGGCAGCCCAGCCTCGGGGTAGTTTGTGCCACGCCACGCGTTGCTCACACAGGGGAGTGGGAGAAAACCTTGGGCTTCATCCCAGGGCTCCCACCCTGCAGGGAGGTGCTCAGCAGCAAACACCCCATGAGCAAGTCCCCCGCACTGCCTACATGCTCCCTTGGCCAGGGCTTGCTCTCACGCAGGGCTGGCCCTGCTGCAAGGAGTGGACCAGGAGGCTGAAGCTGCCATCCCTTTTTTTTGTTTGGCATATCTGCACTGTCTCCTGAGCTCAGAAGCTTGTGAGAAAAGAAAGCAAGGGAGGAAAGATGAAGAAGAGACAGCAGTGCTCAGAGCCTGCTCCAAGGAGTCCCCCAGGACAGAGCTGCAGCCAGGAAGCCCCAAGGAGCCAGCCAATTTTAATCCAGCCACCTGCTGCCCACTCCTCCGAGCGTGGTTCCTCAGAGGAGGAGAGATGGTTGAAGAATTCAGGTGAGGCTTTCCCTGGACTACACAGCTTAAGGTGGAGGGTTTAGTCCTTCCCTTTCTACACTGCATCTACTTGGAGGTGAAGGACACTGGCCCCAAGTTAGACCAATAGCAGCTGACTTGATTAACATCCCAATTTTTTTTTTTTTAATTTTAAATATGTATTATATGCCTGGCCACAACAGGCTATCTTCTTAATTTTTCTCCCTCCCTCTCCCCCTTTCTGTTTAATTTCCTGCATATTACGCACCCTGACTTGCTTACAAGTGATTTTGATTTCTCTCCTCATCAGATGTGTTAGAAACTAAGAACAAAGCATAGCTGGAGATCTGAAAATCATAACTATTCCCATCTGCAGACAGACCCAAGGTGCATGGTAGATGCTTTGTTAGGTGCCCCACTCTTGCCTCAAGCCCCAGCCCACTTACAGCATGACCCAACCTTTCCCTTGCTCATTGGTGCCACTTGTTGAGAAACACCGTAGGAAGTAATTCCTGCAACCCAACAAGTTTTGTGGTGTGGCTCTAACCTGGGTGACACAGGTGCAACAGCTTTAAAATGGCCATGGGAGTTGGTGGCCATGAAACACCATGCATGACAGGTACACATGTGCATGAACAGCACCATTCCTGTCTGGGCTGGTGGATGTGCTAGGCAAATTGTCAACAAGAAGCTGTCTTTCCTAACCCAATATGTTACCAATCAGGCAAACTCTATTAAAAAAAGGAAAAAAAGAAAAAAAGAAAAAGGGCATATTTATTACTAGTCCATAAATAATTTTATGGGTGGAAAATAATAGCAGTCCTAGAGAGAGCATGGAGAACCAGTAATGAAAGTCTTTAATATAAACATCCATAGAGGAAGAGAACTGACCACAAGCTCCAATAAAACTGGAACATGCTTTAACCCCTGGTGAGAAGTGGAAAGCAAGCTTTCATCTAGGTAGGGCAGAGGGGGAGATTGCTGCTTTCTTGCTAGCAAAGGAAGAAAGGAGGCACATTTGTCATGGCCAGAGACTGAAGCTGGAAAGTAGGTTGTGAGCACACAGACAAGGAAAAAAGGAAAAAAAACCCAGTTAAAGGAAGTTCTTTGGAAAGACAGAGGACCTCAGAGGCAATAGCCATGTTTATTGACTCAGGTTTGACGATTCACCAAGTTGTCTGAGGGACTTGGGGAAGAGGTCCTCTCTAGACAACCTCGAGCAAAGCGGGGCAAGGTGCCCCTCAAACTGCAGAGGAAGCAGCACGCCAGAGCCCAGCTTTCCAGTAACACCAGGCAACAGCCACAAAACCTCTAAACTGTGTCTGTGGTCAGAAAATCAATGTTGTAAAAATCATGTTGGCCCAACCCTCAGCCCTCCTCTGTCCTGCTCTTCTGCATGCTGGGACAGAGAGGTTTGACCCCTCAGGTGCTCTCCCAAAGGCAGCCCCCAGCTGCAGAGGCAACCCCTGAGCCCCTACTGGGCTGCAGGACCAGCATCTTGGGCACAGAAGTGCCTCCTTTGGTCTGGAGTCACCGGCAGGGCAGGATGACCTGCATGCCACAGCTGATTGCTATGGACTCAGGGTGCTCGGCAGCAACCTGGAGTGCTCAGGACCCCTCAGGATGGCAGAGTATATCCAGCTACCCTCTGTTACTCTTCACAGCCATGGGGAAGAAAGGAAACTAGGACTTTAAACACAGCTTGTGCCCACCCTTTGCGGGTGTAACGGCACAGCTTGACTGCAGGGAATAGTCAGGAGCAAGTTGTTTCTCAGCCTCAACGCATTTCTGTGGGCTTCTGGTTTCGGGCACAGCCCTTCTCCTGGCAATCTGCCCAAGGACGGGTTTGCTGCTCACAGTGGGAATGGGGCAACTACATAAGACCCAGCCACAGGCATACGGGGTTTGCAAAGAGTTCAGTAGGACGTGAAGTCCTACCTAAGCAGGTTTAAGACTGCTGTAGCTCCTACAGGACAGAAAAGGATGGGTCTTTGTCACCAAAGTGCTGGGGCAAAGACAAGCAAATCCTCCTGTGCCTGACCACACATCCTCGCTTACCTTCAGCCAAACTCCCTCATCACCCACAGGCATCCTCTCCTTGTCTGGATCCTGAGCATTGTCTCGGCTGGGAGTGCAGGGGAACCAAGCAGCCAGGGAAAGGTCCTTTGGCACATCATGAAGGTAGGATTTACATACCTGAAAGGAAAGATTTATTTCAACCCAGAAAGAAGCAAGGAAAGTGAGAGAAAGAAACAGCACCAAAAAGTTGGTTCTTAGCATGAAAACAATTAGGATGTGGGTTCCTAAGCAGGAGTGATATCTCACTGCCCACACATGTGCACAGGAAGCCTTTGCCATTTTGAGGTGCTGTAAATATGCTGTTTAAGCACCGCATGGTGTCTGTAGGGCTGAGTAAGAAATAATGAGCCAATCTGTGAGATGGTAGGTAAGACCACAGCCTCCTGATTTTGGCTGGGCTGATGAGATCCAAAGGTGTGATTCATTTGCCTGAATACCAGTCTGCTGTGCCATTCGATGCCCTATGGTATCCCAGGAAACCCCATGGGCCTGGCAGACAAAACCTGGGAGATAGGTGTGTCATTCTAGAGGACCAGACACCTGAGCCCAAGGCATCTCATTAGACATGTACATCTGGGCAATTTAATTATGCAGTAGGTCTCAAGAAGATTGTTCCTTATATCAGGTCAACAGAAACACATGTATAAGGGCTAAATATGACCTCTCTACATATTTCTTGCCCTTCTTCAGCTTGCTAGGAAAGAACATACACACACCACATTAACACTGATTGGGCGAAATCCCATTCTAGACCTCCAGGCCCTGCTCCAAATCCCGTATGAAAGATGGGAATTCCCCCATCAATTTTTCTTTGGCTTCAGATCAGAGAGTTTGACAGCAGCACAGATGCTGATGTATGTGTGATTTTATCCTTTCAGGCCCTGACCTTATAAGGTATTAGACTTATGGGATTCTTTTTAAACCAACACCAAGACTACTCCCATGCTCAAAGTTGTGCATTTAGCTGGTGGGACAGGCATGGTCACTGTTTAGCAAACTGCATGGTCAGGGGAGGTGCTCCGTTGCCTTGATGAAACACCCCGCCATGTACTGCACTTCCTGGGCTTAAGGCCTACTGAAAGAGGGGTGTGAGAAATGCCCAGGTCTTCTACTGGCTCCCTGCATGAGAATATAGTAATCAATGAACACTTCCAGAGCTGCTCTGAAGATTTTGGTTTTGCCTCAGTACACTCTTGCAGCAGTGATTTCCCCAGCTTTACTGCATGGGCTTTGCTAGAAAAGTCTTTTTTTTTTTGTCCATGCCTTCACTCACCTTCACAACAGGCTCTCCAGTGACCAAGGAAGCAGGGCAGGACTTTGCATCCTGATGGGAGGCATAGGCTTTTGCTGCCCACAGATCTATGTATCCATCGGGTGTGTAGGGACCACAGTCCAGGACACTGCTTGTCTTCTCAAACGGCTCACACACACCATCCCCATCGTGCACATAGCACAGGCTTGGTTCCCCTGCAAGGAGACCAGGGATGACCCGTTTACAAACCAGACTCCAGGCTCATACATCTCCTCCTGTCCCAGGAGGTGTGCTGGCTGTTTAGCTCTGGGATTTCCCACCACAAAGGCCTGATGAGCTCCGTGGATCACTCCAGCTGCAGATCCATGTTCTGTTGTGATGAGGTGCATCACCCTCTGCTCTGAGGAGCAGTGTGAATAACATACAGTTTTGACTCCTGCCTCAGAAGGATGTCTCAATCCATTTGGACTCACCGACACAGTTGAAGCCTTTTTCCTTTTTACACTTCCTGGAACAGCCATCTCCATCCAGCAAGTCCCCATCATCACATTCCTCATCCAGGCTCCTAGGAGGACAACAGCCAGATGCGTTAACACCACCCTTGAGTCAACACTCCTGTGCTTCTGCCCAATCATGAGTGAGGACCTCATATCTTGGTTCCATTTCAGAAGCAGGGAGAAGAGGAAGAACTGCATGTGGAGTAAAGTAGAGGAGAGAAAACACCATATCTTGCCAGGGGATAAAAAGAGGTTGAAAACACAGCATATGGGAGAAGGCATGATTGTACTGTGACTTTCTTATAAGACCTGAGGCAAAAAACCATGGGAGAAAATGAAGCTACATACAACAGAGGAAGTAGAGAACCAAGCATCAGGAAGACTTGCTGCTGGAGAAAGCAAGTGTTGGAGAGGGCAGGAGGTTCTGAGATAGGGCTGGTGTTTCAGTGGGAGCTGGAGAAGGGGAGGCAAGAGGAGGGAGAGAGACAAGGTTAACCTCAAAGGAGACAAGAATCAGCCCCCAGCTGACATGCAAGGCATCTCATAAGGAAAAAAGCCCATGCAGTTTCCTTGAAAAGGGGTTCTGTCCCCATACTGCAGAAAATAGACCTGATGGGAGAAGCTGGCAGAAATGCCTAAATTTGTACCTATTCCTTGGCGCACAGAGTTATGTATCGTAAAACACAAGGAGCAAAAAGGCTTCAGACATACATCTTGTGACGCTAACCCACCTCCACCCTCATCTAACACAAAAGATCCACTGTGTCCCATCTTCCCACCTTTGGCTCACTGTTCCACACATGATACAAAGGAAAAAACTTTCACAGACAAAGCTTCCTGCATGGCCTTCCCCACAACAGCTCAGGAACAGGAAAGTCTGCCAAAAATCTAAATCTCAGCTGCTATCTGCCCATTTCTGCTCCTCTCTCTTTTCTATCGACTTTGACAACGGAGTCTAATGTGGTCATTCGCTCTCTCTGGACCAAGTCTTCAGCTAGTATGAATTCATGCTAAAACCATACCAGATTACACCACTTTAGCAGCTAGCTCTGCTTTAAGCCTCTTTGCCTTGCTGAGTCTTGTACAATATCACTGTCCTTCCTGCACTTGCTTCAATTGTCCACTTTCCTCACACTGTTAAGAAAGCTGTTTTCAAAGGAAAGTGATTCTGAGTAATCTGGAACTTGAAGTCTGAAAAAGCTAAAATATGGAAATCTGGTATAATTATCCCCAGCTGGAGCAGGTGAACCATTGGGGTCTCTCAATGTAGAGGTGGTGCATCCCTCATCATTGGGGGTCTCTAAGCAGAGATCAGACAGCTCTCTAAAGACACCACACCATGTGGGACTGCACTTGCTGCGGAACCTCCTCCTACAGGGCCACCAACATGTGCCCTCTGCAAAAGGTTATATTGGCCAGTTCCAAAGGCGGATCCTTTTGGGGTCAGACTCCATGACAGCTCACTGAGATGGGCCAGAATCCAAGCAGTGCACTCAAACACAGAGGGAGTTCAGGTTGGACCCCTCATCCAGACCCTGCTTCTCAAAAAGACTGTCTCCATCTCCTATGCACATGGCATTTTACAAAACACAAGCTCTATAGTCCAGTATGCTGAAGGGATTCAGTGCAGCATCTTCAGTCAAGTACCCATGGGTGGAGGACCAACCCAGTGCTTCCCTTTGGGGCAGGATGACCTGACAGCTTAAAAAACCTCAGCTGGGAGCTTGAGTTTCTTGACTTACATGGTCACCTTCCCATCCCCACAGTAGGATGCTCCATGGACATGGATGAGTGGTGGGGAGGCTTCTCCTGAGGTTGTCCCAGAGACTGCCTGCACCTGGTAGTGGTACACCTGCCCAGGCGTGACTTCCCTGCAGGAACAGAGAGGACTTGAAGAAAGAGCAAGAGGGAACAGCCCATACATCTGCAACAGATTTGCTCACCACAGCTATAGAAATCATGTCTATGTGCCCATGCAGTATCACAGTTTGACACATGTCTTCATACTCGAAACTGCCAGAGGCACAGACTGTGGGAAGAGGGTCTCTGCCAGGTCATGTAGAGGGGCCTGCTGCTTATTTCCCTAGGGTCTGAGCTGGGGGGAAGTGCCATTAACTTGAACAATCATTTTACTGGTTTTGTTGATGGGGAAAATGTTTCCAGGTTTAATAAGCTCCTAGTTAGCCTGGGCTTATGGGCAAGGGTCATGCTAGCATGGTGGGTCTGCAACAAGCTTCCTCAATGCTGAATAGGGAATCCGCTCATGGCATTGAAAGTGGTAATTCCCAGGGGGTGGAATACAACAAAAACACAAGCAAAAATGATCCAGGGATTCAAAGGCAGGACCTGAGGAGGTCCTCAAAACTGTCCCAGCCACCCACTCAGCCTGCGATGGAGCAGCCTTGTCACTCACGTGTCGACAAACTGGCGGTGCGCCTGTGCCGGGGCAGCAGGGGATCCGTTTGCAAACGGGGGGTTGCGGAGAACTCGGTACTGGATCAGCTTGCAGGCAGAGCAGAGGGAGCTGTGAGGCATGGAGGTCAGCAGCGCCGTGTCTATCTCCATCCTCTCATCAAAGGTGTAGATTTTGACTCCAGACACCTTTTTAGGGATGTTGAGCTTCACGGTAAAGGGGACATCACAGAAGGTGTCCAGGGGGCCCAGATGGATGGACTCCCCCTGCTCTGTCAGGACTTCAATGTCAGACAGTGCCTTGGGAGAGCCCGTGGAGAGGTACGTGGTCCAGAGGGTGAGGGAATCGGGGTACACAGGGTGCAGAAAGTGCAGCTCCAGGATGCAGCCATCTGGCTGGGGGCATGGCACAGTCATGTTCATATGGTACAGGTGGAGCTCTGGACTCCAGGCCTGCAGGCTGGGCTCACAGGGCTGATCCACATCCGGGGGCCCTGGGCAGAAGGGACAAGGAGGAGGCTGATGAGAACCAGGGGACAGCTGACCTCACAGGGGACCCAGAGGGGCAATCCTCCCTGCAATACCCCCTAGGTGCTTATGCATCTCTGTGCTATAGTTGCACACCCATGCAGTTTTGCACCCATTACAGGCATGTGCCAGAGCTGGTGGCATCTGCCCTAACATCCTAGAAAGCAATAAGCACCTCTAGCGTCCCAGCTCCTGGGTATGCATACAAGCACAAAGCTTGGGAGATCTGGTGTCTCAGCCCTCTAAAACAGGGACAATGGCATCCACGCTGCAGCTGGTCACAGTGCCAAGCTCTAGAGACAGCCTGGGCACAGCTGGGGTGCATGAAGTTTGCTCTGTAGTCTCATGGGCACAGAAGGCTTGCTAAGGGAACCTGAATGCTGCATCCCTGTGGCTCCGTGGGTTTAGACATAGGCTAAGCAGAGCAGAGACCAAAGCTTTCCACAGGCACATGCTGGAACAGGTCACAGGCAGGAAGGGGCCAGGTCCAAAGCAAGCCAGGGAAGCAGCTCTGGAAGGCTATTCTTCCACCAGGACCTCCAGGATGGTGCCCAGGCTGACTTCAGATCTGCAGCCTGCCTCCCCTGGTGGTGGATTAGCATTCAGCAAGAGAAATGTAGCATTGTGCTTCCAGTCCCAGAAAGCGTCACTGGAATTCATCGTCCTGTAGTAGAAATACCCTTGTCTTCATCAACCACTGCATGCATTTCTTAGGGTCCCACACCAATTCAAAGCCTGCATCCATTTAATATTAGTCTTCTAAAAAACCATAAAACCTGTCTCTCTTTCACCAAATATGCATTTGTGATAACTGCAGGTTGTGCGTAGGAGAAAACAACATCTAATAATTCCAGAAGTAGTTTTAATTTGCCAGTGCATCAGACAGGCAGGGGAAACAGGAGCCACTGACAATAAATGAGCTAAGCTTTGATTTTTTTTAGTATCACTGAACAAGCACAAATTTGATCCCCCCCCCCCCCCCCCCAACTTGCAATGCTAGCAAGAGATACTTAAAGAGCTTTCAGACACAGAATCCCAGCTACATCCTGACACTCCTGTTCTCAAAGCATGGGCTATATCCCAAAGGTGTAATAATGTCCAAACTGCACTTTCTCTGCAACCACCCTGGCACATTTTTCAGTCAACCTCAGTGGCTCAGATGTGCCACTTAGCACAGAACTAACAGATCATCTGGCTCCACGTGGTTCAACAGCAGCATGTGCACTACATACAGCTCATGGGAATATTTAACCTGGTCTCCTACCTCCTCTGCTTTGCCCTTGGGGAAGTTGAGGCAGTCTGAAAAGCCCAACAGCTCCTATGGCAGCTGCATGACCCTGAAAGCCACCACCATGCCCACAAGGTGAGTCTCTAAACCAACATCTGGGTCTCTGCACAAGAGAAGTTGTGACACCCTGCTGTCCACCTCGCCAGCGGGGAATTGCATCCAACCCAGATTGCCCAGGACTTGGTACAGACTCAGTGGGACCAAGCAAGGAGCTCCTCTTGCTCCCTTTGCACAAGGCTGCTTTAAAGCCTGTGAATGCCCCTGAGGTTTTGGATGAGGCCCCAAGATCTATGTTGTAAGACTTTTATTTAAATGAAATGCCCCTCCCTTTTGACCAGTATCTCTCATTAACACCCTCCTGAGCAATGATTTGGGTTAATATTGGGGTGTCAGTTTGTCCAAAGCCAGCTGGCAGTTATCAGGTATCTCCTGGCCACCTAGAATTCTTTCCTGCACTAAAGAGCCTCCCCAAAGAGGAGACATCTCACTCTCTGAAAGAAAAAAAAGCTTCTTTTTTTTCCCCAACAAGATCCCATCTCTGTCCAGGACATTCACAGCCAGGGGAATAGAGGAAGTGTTCACCTTCTGCTTCTTCTGGGGTCCAGTAGCCGGAGGAATCACAGACCCGAGGGGAAGAGGCCTCGTGCACATATTGACGGAAGGTGCCATCCTCCGCACAGTCATCGCAGAGTGTGTCCTGCTCTCTGCAGACAGAAGACTAAGGCATTGGCATGTCTAATCACGACCAGTTAATTTTCCATCCATGCTTGTGCAGGCAGGGTCAGATAAGAAATTGAAAAAGCAAAGCTAAGCTCTCAGGAAGTCCCTGGGCATATCATCCTGCTTGGAATAAGTTTTGTCAAAGACAGGAGAATAAGACTGGCCATGGGACAAGCCAGGTTTAATCCCTCCTCTTTTACAGGCTCTCTGGGTAGTCTTGGATGAGCTATTGAATCACCTGTTCTCTACCCATGAAGCAGAGCTAACAGACTTCATGCTTCCCAGGCAATGCCTCTGCAGCTGGGTGGGTGCACTTGGGTCTATCTCCACTAAACCCAAGAGTCAGGTTTTTTTGTCACTACTGCAATACAAGACAGTCACAATAATGTCTATTAAAGAGGGTACCACTGTGCTCTCTGGGAAAGAAAAAGAGACTTTTCTGTGATAAAGACCAGCCTCAGGCCCTTCCCTTGGAAAGTTCATCACAGGGGATGCAGAACCCCCACCGTGGACCAGCTCCTGAGCCAATTATGAGTGAGAGCCAGGGCTGGAATTGAAGACCTGGCACCTGCCTCCTAGACCTGTGTTTTCCTGCTCCCAAACCACTCTGTTCCCCACTAAAGCAGTTTGTTTGGATGACTCAAGGCCACCCAGCACTCAGAGGCTCTCATGCCTGTGGGTGTAAAAGGTACACAGTCTTGTTATGCCTGGGACGAAAGGCCTATCGTGGAGAGCATCAGTTCTTTGGAAAGGCAATAAACACTGGCTCAGGACTGTCCCAGCTGCCCTCAAACACCACTTTTCTGTGAATTACAAAAGCTTTGTGAAGTAGCTTTAAAACAACTTCAAGAGCTCTTTAACATATGCTTACGGTCCCATAGTAAAAGCATAGACCTGAAACCTAGTGGAAACCAAAATGTTTTAGTAATAGGGGCTGCTGAGTAGAAGCATTGGTGGAGTATCCAGGTCTTGGTGATTCCCCAGTGTTGGGGAGAAGGAAGACAGCCACGCTGCGCTCAGGGCCATGCAATACTTGCCAGCCAAACAGCTCTGGTTCCTCAGCAACATTTCTCTGTCTTGAAAAGTTTCCTGACTTACCCCCAGTTAGTTACACCACGAGTCCATGACAGTGCTGGGAACAAAACCCAGCTCTTGCTGTTCGAGCTCCCTGCCTTAACCACAAAGCTGCATTTCCTCCTGGTAAATGGCTATTTTATACAATAAGTGCTAAATGAAGCTCATTTTTCATTCTGTGATTGCACTCTGGGGTTTAAGAATTGGCATTGCCTCCTGATGCTCTTTGGCTTCCCCTCTTGGCGCCCCGACAGCAGAAGGCTTGCAGGAGAGCCCACGTGCCAGCAGGGCCATCGCAGCAGCCCTGCTCTTGTGTCTGAGGGCTCTGCTGGAGATGACCAAGGGTGAAAGGGGATGGGGGGGGTCTGCACCACAGAGGGTCCCTTGTCCCTTCTAGCAGGCTACTGTGCAAGCCCAGGACCATTGCAACAGCAGATCCCTTACCTCTCGTGGATGACACCACTGATGGGAGGCAGCCAGTAGATGCTGAGGGAGTCCTGCGTCTGCCCCGTGACCATGGGAGGGATCGGGATGGGCGCGGGCTTCTTGCTCAGGCCCCAGCGCTGGTACACCAGGTCCAGGTAGCAATGCATCCGGGCCACTTGGTTGGGGGTGAAGGTGTTGGTGCAGTCATCGTCTGGGGGAAGAGAGGCCAGGCTGAGGGTGGCAGGGATTGGCCAGTGGGGCACGGCAACGTGCACCCTTCCTGATCTCCAAACTCTGTTTTGGGGACCTCTAGGTAGACCTGGGAGACACCAACATGTGGTGGCTCTCCTGCCAGGACTCCTCTCTGGTGTCATGTGTCCCCAAAGCCACAAGATGGCACTGCCTCAGCAGCTCCACATCCCTGCACTTGCTAAACACCAGCTCACACCAGCTCTAACGCCTTGGCAGTGACACCATCCTCATGGGACTCGCAGAGGGTCAGCAGAGCGTGACAGAATTGCTCTTCAGGCTTTGGTCCTCCTGGGCTTCCAGGAAGAACACAGTCCTCTACAACATGTCTTTGGAAACCAAGTCAAAAGGGCCCAACTCAAAGGTCCAAAATTACAATAGTAGTAGTAGTAGTAGTAGTAATAATAATAGTAATAATAAAGTTGCTTCAGGACTGGAGAACAAAGGCACACCACCATGCAGACAAGAACATCCTTGATGCATGTCTAATGACAGACTGGCAGGGAGGGAGGGATGGAAACAGCCTGCAGCAAGAAAGGGGCTAAGAAGCTACTGCAAGCCTGCCACATCCCAACGCACCAGGAAGGACCACATCAGTTAGGGAACAAGGGCAGAGACTATCAATGGAGGTCAAAGGGAGAGAAACCCAAGTTACCAGGAAAGGTGACCCCTTACAACTTCTAATGTTGATTACCCATTACCTGTGTAACTCATGTAGTTGTTGAAGGGCGTTCCTGTGAAATGTGTCTGGCCGCAGGTATCATTGGTAGGGTCTGGATCCCGACAGAATTTACTCTTTGGGGTGGGGGCAGTGTCAGCACAGAGGTCTCCCGTCTCCATAGAGGGACTTGTCTCCCTGCAGGGATCATCACAAGATTCCCGCTCGCTCACTCCCTTAAAGACATGGTACAGTCCCAGGACATGTCCCACTTCATGGATCATGGTGTTCGTGTGGCCGTGCATACCGTAATAAGCAGGGTTGAGGACAACTCCACCTAGAATTGCAAGTACAGAGAACATCATCCAGAGAAAGAGACAGTGGACAGCTGCCATTACTCACTTGTGCTAAGTAAAACTCCTCTCATTGTTCTTCCAGGTCACAAATGAGGTGCCAGATGGAGACCTGAAGATGGACATATTCACCCTCTTGTAGGATGGGAAGGAGGCTCCTTTGCCCTGTTGGAGTGGAATGTGGTAGGTGGTTTTTCTTCCCCTTCTGAACACACCACTCACCCCAACATCTTCAATCATTTCAGCTACCATTTCCCTCTGTGTCTTTTCACATGTTTATAATTCAGTGTCTGCTTTGATTCACACTTACAACTCCAAATGAGGTTTGGAGCCAGGGCACCAAACTGAGACATGCTGTGAGTTTACAGGGATAATCTTTTGAACCAGAGGACAGAAGACCTTCTCTAGCCTAGACAGGTGGCTAAAACATGCCAGCTCCCATGGCAGGTGAGAACAATAAGGTGCCTAGCAAAGTCCTGACACACTTGGCTATGCCAACTAGAAGCCCCCTTCAGCACAAGTCCATATGAAGATTCAAATGCACTGCCTCTTGCTCCTACTGAGAAAACACATTTGCTTGAGAAAACACCTATTGCTTCAACCTCCAAACCAGACTCTAAGGAGTAAACAAACTCTCATGAGGTGTTGTTGCAACCCACTAAGCTTCTACCACAAACCTGACCTGAATTCGCTGTGTATTTTAGAGTGGGATTTTCCAAAATGCAGCTTCTGAAGATCGCTTCCTCCCTTCAGAGAGGTTTTCATGTGGGCAAGGTGCACCAAGTGAACCAGGTGAGAACCCCCCCAACCATCACAGTCCTACTCCTCTTCACTGGGACACCCCAGACCCTTGATTCAAGGGGGAACAACAGGGCAGTTCATCTCCAAGCCAGTTTGGTGCATTTTCAACTGTCAAAGTTGCTGGAGCATGGGTACAGACTAAGTCCCCAAGAAACTGCCCAGAGCTGCCACCTCATACTGACAGCAACAGCATAGACCTGGATAGGGAGCCATGTTGATCCTGCCCTAAGCTGCCCCTTGGCTGCAGGGCGAGGTGCTTTTCCTCTCTTGCCCACCCACCCACCTGTGATGGGAAGAGCAAGGATCAATGATGCCGAGGAAAGCCAGGTAGAGCAGAGTCTTCCCTTTGCTCACTGCCAGCATCTCCAACTCCTGACCTGGGATGCATACCCTGTACTGACAACTCTGTACCAAATCTGCTGGGAAACTGTCCATGGAGGATGCTCAAGAAAAAACTTACCTCTTTTCTCTGGCCTCCTTTTATTTCTTTATTTTGCCCAAATGAAAATCTCTTTGGAAACTCTGCTTTTTTTCTCCCTGCTTTGAGGCTTTCTATCAGCCATTTCCTCCCCTTTCCTCTTCTCGTTTCCTTGCTCTATTCACTTTTCCATGCTGCCTTATGGTGGAGGAGCAAGGGCTGGGGTATATCAGCAAGACGAGGGGGCAAAAAGCAGACCCCAGCATGTGCCCAGCCTGACTCCAGGCAATACCTCTATGGCATGGGAGGTTGGTTTTACCCAACTACTTTTAACCCAGACAGCTTGGATGACAGCATGGTGAATAGTTGGCTCCAGCACAGCTTGCTCCCTCCTTTGCAGGGCTCTGGAGGATTTACTGTGCCAGCTACCTCACAGCAGAGCCTCTGCTACTGTATCTCTGCTGCTGATTGCTGCCCCTGCCAGCAAGTTAAAATTGGCAGAGGGCCACCATGTGATCCTGTCTCCAGCCACAGCATAGACTGCTTGAAATCTGCTCTTTGATCAGCTCTGTGCACTAGTGGATTACCTCATGTCTTCAAGTAGAGGGCATTCCTTCCAAGAGAGGGCTTTCTTCAGATCACAGCATCCCTGGCAGGACACCAGCAGGTCTGTGACTCCTCTGGTGGAGCCATGATGGGTGAACACTGGGTTGGAGCTGGAAAGGGGCCTTCAGAGATGCCCTGGGCAATTCTCTCTAGCCCAACAGGATTGCAAGAGGGTGAAGAAATAAGGGTGGCATCTTCTATGGAGCATGCTGCATGTGTTGCTCATGGAAGGGCCTGTCAAGTGGCACCGTTTCTTAGCTAAAAATTTCTTGTTCTTCCTCCCCACAGTGTGAATCTTACACTCAGAGCAGCTTGGCTTGAGGCAAAGGATGGGTCATGAAGTAGCTGCATTCCCTTTCTCCCCAGATGTAAAACACCAGAGCAGAGGACCTTGCATCCTATCAGTCAGTTCTTGACCCTTTAGTTGACTGGAGATAGGCCACAAGAAGGTACAGAGGTTGAAAAATCTCTTTGGGACCTTCATGTTGTGTCCTGTCAATCATTAGGGTTTTACAAGCCGTGCCCCTCCCAATTACCAGGGTGGTAAATGCTATAGATAGCAAAGGGCATCCCACTGATGAAGAATCCAGTGGGCACATTAAAAAAAGCTGCTTCTCATTTTAATCAAAACAGGGCATGAGAGAAGAGAGAACAGAAAGAAAAGGCATCTCTGCAGCCAAACCCAAGCCTGAGCAAGACAGGGAGCTGCCTGCCTAAAGGTCTGAAAGGAGGAATGCGCACGCAGAAAGAAAACAGTGTTCATAAACAAATGAATGAGATGTGAAAGTCCTGCATGCATCCTGCAGCACTAACCACAAGGAATGGGTCTGAGCACCAGGGGCACAGGAGGCCCTGTGACCAGGCAGGCCTCCTCCCAGCAGAAACACAACACTCTTCCCATGTGGGGGAATAAATGGGAGGATTCCAGTACAGGGAGGGAGAAAACTGTCACAGGGGAGGGATGCCAAGGCTGGGATACCCTGTCCCTCCCCCTCCTCTCTGCCGGCTTCCCCTATCCCATTCCTCCCCCACACTCCACAAGGATAATAATATTTTTAGTACTTTTTTTTTACAGCTAATTAGATGGCAGGATTAGAAACAGCATGAGAACTCTGCCTTCCTTCCAGAACATCCCTGTCCCTCCATTCCCTGTCCCCACAGCTCCCTGATGAGCTGGGATAGCTCCCAGCTTTGGACCAGAAAGTTGTATTTCCCCTTTGCAGGGTCCTGGTTGTTAAGCCAAGATGTGGAAGTGTTTGTAACATCCCAACAAGACCAGCCTCCCCTCTCCCTCCTGTGGAGATCAGGCTTTCTTTCTCACTTCTGCCTCCTCCTGCCGTGGGAGATGGGCTAAATTGGGCTTTAAGTGAACTCTCCTTCTCATGCCTGAGAACCAGCCCAGGGAGGGTCCCCATGGTCAGCATTTACACAACCAAGCTAAAAACTTCAATGTCATGTCCCTGTGACATCAAGAGGTCCAGCACTCCAAGGCAGGTGAACCAGTCTTTGGACTTGCTCACCCAACTGAGACCAACAGGAAAGCTTCAGGTCTGGCCTCACAACATCCTCTCCCTCCAGACCAGACCTACCAGCTACAGCTGCAGAGCTGGTAATATCCCCAAGGTCAAGCCTCAACTCTGCTCAAGCAACAGGAAGTGGACAGTCCATCAGAACAGTTAATGATTAGCACTGGTGTGAGCCCCACTTCATCTTCACTCACACATCCCTTGGAAGCTCCCAATCCCAGGACGTTGCCCTGCTTCTAGCCATGATCAACGGCAATGCTGAAGGACTGTGGTTCAAGCCAGCTCCCAAGAAGCCAACCTGTTCCTGGGTCAGGGCTGTTGTAGAGAATGCATGCTCAAGCAAGCACAGGATCTTTAAACAGCAAACCACAAAGCTGAACCTGTATCACAGGGCCAGTCTTCCCCAAACACTGAGTCATGGCAATTAATGGAACAAGCACATGACAGTTAGTCAGACAGGAAGATGGCCATTGCTTAAGGTACCTTTGATGGAACGGCTGGCCCTCCTTCAGGATCCACTGACCTCAGCCAGATATATGAGCTGGCCTCAGCTTATATAACTGCAGAAAGTATTTATAACATCAAATATTCACAATTCCCTTGCCTTTCAACCATGTTTATGCAAATACAGTTCACATGCAGCTACACATGAAGTTTAAAGCGTCCGCATTATTACATTACTAAGGTTTTTGAGGCGAGGCTTTCCACTGTGGAAAGCTAAGTTTTTTATAGGACAGGAGTTCTTCGACTCCCTGTATTTTAGAAGTAAATCTGTTTAACTACAAGTTCTCAGAAAATTCATTCCAGACTCCAAGCAAGAACTCTGAATCTGGGACGAACTCACTGTGATTATGGTGGAAAGACTGAGACAGACAGTATGGTTAGAGGGAGCAGTGCAAACAGACCTGAGATCTTCTACCTCTGCTGCTAGATGGCTGCAAGTTGTCTCTGTCTAGGAGCTCCACAGCAGCTGAGATACTGCCTATAGGAGCATCATAGACCGGTTCACCCTCTCTAAGTCAGTAATTATCTCTTATGCTTCAGTGAATGTAGTTGCTGTTGGTTGGTATTACTACTGGTCTAAAATGGTAAATCATCCCTAAACCTTCAGCAAGGCTGCCTGAAATTCAAATTTACTCAGGAAAATAATCTGGAGGAGAGCAATAGATCTGCAAGTCATCAGCATAGGAATGGTGACTTAATTTCTGGTAGCCCAAAACAAACATAGGTGAAGAGAAGAGGATGAAAAACAAAGTTTGCTGAAGACTTCCAGAAGGTGAAGATGCCAACAGGAAGGTGAGGAGGACCCTCTTGAAAGACACTGTCAAAGATCATGAAAGAATGGTTTCTAAGGAGTTCTAAGCCCACATGGCAGATTAAAAAACATCTAGAGAAGAACTGATGGAGATAGTTTGGATACAGTATGTTTAGTGAGCTTTGGGATGAGAGGAAGTGTTAAAATAGAAGAAGGGAAGGCAGTTGGAGAGAAAGAGTCTCATGTTACTTCTCTTGAAAACATCTAAGAAAGTCCAGTTCAGAAAGACAAACAGCAAAATCTGACCAAGTGTCTCTGGAGCCAAGAGGCAGGTTAGTTTCTTGGAGAAGTCAAACTCAAGGAACCAATTTGATTCAGGAGGAGAACCAAAGCATGAGATGGTCTGTACATGTGTAAAGAAAAAAATCAGCATGGCATTTCTGCTCCATTGGAGTGGACAGTGGCATGGGGGGAGCAGGGCTTGTGTGCTGACCTTAATAGTTTAAGGTCAAGATAGACAGGAAATTAACAAGATTCAGCACAAGGGAAGGAGTCTGTCTTCTTGGAGACAGACCCCTTGCTTGTGTAAAGACCTGTCTCCATCCCTGGTCACTGTTAGGTCCTTAAAGCTCAGGAATTTTTCTCGAACTACTATTCACTCCTCCCAAGGTTTTCCTTGCTCTTTCCTCACTACCTTCACATCTACTCAGATTGTCCAGTAGCCTGTCCAGTAGCCTCTTATGAGAGCTTTTGTCAAAAGCCATATATTCTTGACCTGCTCAGTCCTAAGCTGCTTCTGTGCTGGACAATGTGCATGGTACAAAACACTTGATGATGTGGTGAAGCCTACTGTTTACAGAGAACAGAGCCCGCCACCTGCCCTCCCGAGCTCATTAAATCTAAAACCAAGGACAATCTTGAACCAAAGTCTTCAGTCTGTGCCAGAGCCTCAAAGAAGTTCAGATCCAGCTTCATAATTCACAGCTCTGGCACCAGAGCCAAGACAACACCTCTTTTCCCCTGAACCTCTGTGGTAAAACCCTGATCCAACATTTCCAGATGGTGCCATCTCTTGTGTCCCTGGCTGGACACAAACTCTGAGACCACAGCTAAATGCAAGCTTTTGATGAAACCAGTCACCCTGATTACCCCTCCGTACAACTCCTTGCAAGCCATTGGGAGGGGGCTGAAGAGAACATGTGTGGCTGAAGCACTTGCTGTAGTAAAATGATTGTCAAGCTGAGCCTTGGAAGTGATTTCTGGAAGCTGAAGGAATAAATTTCATGGAGATTTGCCTTCCTCAACAAGCAACTGTAGCAATACGCTATTGAAAAAACAGTCCTGAAACTCATTGCAGGAGGGAAACTGGCAAAAAAGAACTTTAAAACAGGTCTTTAACAGCAGCGCAAAACTTTTAAGGGTTGCACATCACGCACTTGTAAAAGCAGAAGGTCTAGCTCTGCTGTGCAGGTGTCAGGAGTAATTATTTCCAGTTACTTACTGAGAAACACTTCAGATGTTTTGACTGCAAAGTGTAAAGGGCTTTGCCAGAAAACTCCAACATTGAAGAGGTGAAGGGAGAGACAGGAAAAAGAGAGACAGCAGAAATAGGAGAAAATACACAATACATTTACATTCTAGTGAAGCCATTGCTGTTTTGACTGTTTTGTAGCCTGCCAAGGCTGATGACCTTAAGGGTCTGCCTTGAATTCACTGAAGCCAAGGAGAACCTTGCCTCCAGCAGGTAGTAAGCCAAGTTATAAAAACATGGTTTAATTTGATAGTCATCCTCACATTTGCAGCTGGATTCGGAAGTGGCCAGTGCTCACTGCCTGGTTGGCTCTGGAGTCACTCAAATCTGGAGTCTTGGCTCTGAAATCACTGACACTCCTGGTTTATCTGTTTGTCATTATGTGCTGCGAAGTGAAGTTCACTGTTTCCAGAATCCTGGAAGATAGACCTGGAAGGTCCCAGAGAAGCCAAATGCGTGTCTAAACCCCTTTCCAGAGCCTGCACTCATGGTGAACCTGCAGCAATCTGTCCCACTGTCTCACTGCCTTCACCATTAAAAGTTTCCCATAAGAACCTGGAATTCCCTTGTAAGGGTGTAACGCCACCACCTTATCCATATAGACACTGGAAACAGACAGCTCCTTTCCTTAGAGCAGCAGCTATCGGTACACCCAAAGCCTGTTATCATGACCTTCTTATTAAACATCCTCAATGCTGAGCCAAGTCATGGCTGCCTCTTTTTGCCAAGTCAACCAAAAGAGAGGAAAACCAACAACCCTGAGGCCCCATGAGTAGGGTAGCTTACTTACCCAGGTGACTAAGGGCCTCTTTATCCCATGGCCAAGTGGCAGCACCAGCCAACTCTTCCCTCACCGAACTGGCAAAGTAAACATTGAGGAAGTGGGTGCTGTTCAGCTGCAGTGCCTCCTTCAGCTCCTTCACACTCATGTACGCCCTGCAAGGACAAGGGAGAAGAGATAGTCAGCATAGACTTCAACAGAGCAAAAACAAAAAGCAGGAGCCACCCGTAGATATCCTGGAAAGGGTGCGGCAGACCTGGAGAGCCCATCCTCAACTCTCTGAAACTAACAGTGTTTGGTAAAGCATGGCAAAATTCAGCAAGTTTCAACAGAATGTCCCATGACACTACTAATTCTGCTCTTTAAGGTGCAAGTTCTGCTAGTGAGGGGTTTAGATGGGAGGCATTCGTGCAAATCTGAAGAAGTTTTGCTAATTACAGTAGCTTTGTTGACAAGTTCTACTCTTAGAGAAGGTTTTCCAACAATGGCGAGAGAAGAGACCCCAGAGAATAGGATAAAAGGAGACAAAATGGGAGAAGAAACAATGAGAGAAGAAAGGAAATGCAGGGGTACGTCCTGCTATGGAAAAGAGAAGGGGTTTGGCATCAGAAAAGTGGAATTTGAGAAGGGGGGAGTGAGTTTTCCTCAAGGTGTGAGGTGAGAGAAAGGAATCCAGAACTCCAGCTGGTTCCAACAAGGGTTTTCAGGGGTCGTCCCTGGTATAGGTCAGGGCAGGAGTGGACATCAAACCTTATTCTTGGGAGCAGAGACGATTTGCCAGCTGGGGCCCAGAAGTCTCTTCTCCACCTTCTCTAGTCTGTCTGGAGAAGCTCATGACCATGGCCCTTCACTCTATCCTTTTTCCCAGGACAATCAGTATGCCAGAGGTGGCAGTGCTTGGCAAGAACAAGGGGTCCCTGCAGAGCACGGGCACACAGCATATCAAGAAACATGCTACCTCATCCCCATCCCTATGGACTGTATAAGGAAGAGCATGAGCAAAAGGTATCTCAGAATTTGCTCCAAGAAATCTCTCTTCCAGCTCTGCTCGAAACAGACCTTGGAGAAGAGTGGTCCCTGGGTCCCCCCAGCACTGAGGCAACAGCAGGGCCCTCTTCACATGAATCTGTGTCTCTGAGACAGATATGAATCCTCTCTGAGAGGAGGTCTGGGATGTCTGCAGAAGCCAGGGCAGGGAAGCACAGGAGCTCCCAAAATAATCTTAATGGGGAGAGGGGGACATCTCTGGAGACAGATCCATCGAAGGGCATGTCTAGTGGGGAAAGCCTCCTGACAACATTGCTGGCTGTCTCTCCTCCCATCTCCAGAGCTGGGAATAAAGAGTTGCAGGAGCAGAAAAAAATACTAAAATGGGGATATCCAAGACATCCATTTCTAAAGGGCACAGGAAGCTAATGGGCTGGAAGAGGTGGGCAGGCAACAGGTATTGCAGCAGAGCAGTAACACCTGTGGGTATGTCTGGGTGTCACAAAATGATCCTCACAATGTGGTATGTCTCTCAGCACTTGGAGAAAAAAACCAGCAGTCAGGAAATTTAGGTTTCACTCTGGTTTGCAACTGGTTGTTTCTGCACAGGTCAGAGGTCTCTATTGCATTCATCGGTACACCAACAGTCTCAGCATTGATCTTTAAGGAGTTCATGTCCTCAGCTGTGTAAAATGATCAGGATCTAACTTAAAATAATTCTAATAATAATAGCAGTGGGATTGTAGGGCCTTGGGCTGTGCTACAAGTGCCAGATACTCTTTCAAATCAAGTACTACCATTTCCACCATCAGTGCCATTAACCTCATGGGCTGAGAGAGCATTAGGACAGGTAGCCCTAGAAGACACTGTCTCTAAGACTTGTCTCTAAGTCTTCAAAATCTGAAGACCCTGGCCCACGGTTTGTGAAGCCATTAATTTAAGAGATTCCAAGCAGGGAAAAAACTCATGGAAACGCTTCAAATACATCACTGTGGAATGACGATGGAAATGCACCATTGTGGAAATATGTCATAAGAATGACTAAACCTGCAGCATAAGGCCAACAGCAACATTAAGGTGGCGGAAAGCGTTTCACTTATTCCCATGCTTCCAGGAGCAATTGGCATCTTTGAGCTGCATGGAGAGATTATGAAGGGAATGTGATCATTTCTTTACACTGGACTAGCCATGAAGGCACACCAGCTATATTTGAACAAGCAGCTTCTGTAAAAGTGGCATCCATTAGTGTATTCCTCACTGCATTGAATTATGGAAGGAAGGACAAAAAGCTGAGCATGGGCTAAGGGGAAAAAGGCATGTTCTCATCAGAGATGTGAACTGAGAAGGGAAACCAATGAGAGATGTGCAAATACACTGTTTGAGATGGCAAAATCCCTAGTCAAGTTATTATACCAATAGACTTGTTTAGAAAGAAAGAGGTTGCTACAGCAAATGGAAGAGAAGGAGGAAAAAGTGAAAAAAATAGAGGAACAGGATTCCAGAAGTAGACTAGAGCAGGATGGCATGTGGAGCAAAGCTCAGTAAACCAAGGGTGGCCACTTCCCTGGATCTGAAATAGCAGAGACTTGGGTCAGCCATTGCTGACCATTGCTGCTGGGAGGTGTCAGATAATCAGGATCTGCTGACTACTTCTACCCCACCAGTCAGCCCCAATAGGTCATCCTGGGCTGGAGACATCTTGCCCACCTTCCCAGCGACAAAGTAGCTCCAAAACTTCAGTCACTTTAGAAAATCTTGGCTGGACTATATGGCAACATTTAATGGTGAGATGAGATGACCAGCTTGTCTCCACCAGGCCCCGAGATCTCCCACCACAAAGCAGCATTCCCAGAACACTTTCCCCAGCCACATCAGCTTGTGGAGAGAAAACTCTCCCAACCGGAAATGGCAAATTAGGAGAACGTGATCTCTTCTCTGTGATGTCTCGCCTGAGCATCCCAGACACGCGCCATGCTGACGCCATCCCTTCAACCCAACCAAGACGGGAGCAGGCTGGGAGGAACAGATAGGGAGAAGAATAAATAAACCTGAAGGACATATTTGTGGCATGACTCGGAAGGAAGAGAAGCAAAAATTTCATACAAATAAAGCATAAAGGAGGGGGGAGGGAGAGAGAAAGTCTCCTTCATGTACCAGAGCTGCTCGGGGGACACAGACTTAAAAATAACGTTGATTCCTGACCTATGATATCTTGGAAAAATAGCCCCAAACTCTTCCAGGCTGTCCAAATTCTGAGAGCTGACGTCAGCCCTATTCAGAGGGATATTCCCGCTGCCCCTCTTCTGGAGACATGATGTTTTTCTGGCTGTCGCCTACTGTTCCCTTGACACTAGCAACATTTTTTGTCAACCCTTAATTATAAATAACTGTAATTTCCTCCATTGAGAGATTTGGATGGTTCGGGGCTGTGTCAGAGTTAGGGGGAGCCATTCCAGCACTGAGAGATGCTCAGATGGATGGAGAAGGAGAGGAAAGGACCTTGATTTCACCCACTACAGCATGGAAAGCACAAATATCCTCCTGCTGGCGTCCCCAAAGACAGAACGAAGACAAAAACAACTCTAGAACGGGCACCTCCAATTCCCCTCAATCCACATTTCCCACTGGCATCCTTAGCTTAGACAAAGAGCATGTATCTGGCGTCTTCGCCTGTCACTTACTGCCAAGGTCATGCTCTCCCTCTTCTTCAGCGCTTCTGTGATTTTCCCAGGGGGAAGGCAGAGCAGCCTTTGGTCTCCACAAACAGCCTAAATGACAGCCCTCTTCTCTGCTCTCCAAATAGCTTCTCAACGCCTACAAGACCATAGTATTCCAAACTAGATGGTATTTACATCAGGATGGGCATTGCAAGCCAACACACAAACACAAGGAAGGCCAGAAGGACACATAAAGGCACAGTTATTAGCTAAGCAGCAAAAAACCCAACCCCAAAGAATAGGACAGAGGATAGAAGAGAGAGAAAGGCCATCAGGTTTTCCAGATTCAAAGCAAATGTTTTTCCAAGAGTGTCCAAAACTCACTGGTGAGCAGCTACCTGCATGGTGATACCACCTTGACCTGGGGAATATTTGCAACCCTGGGAGAGTGGAGTTTGCAAGAAGAGTATAGGCAACTGTAAGGGGAGATTAGGAACAGGAGTGCTATGGACTGCCATTATTAGAAATGAGCATGGGCATGAACACCATCTGAAATGATGGTATTTGAGGGAACGAGTCCAGATACAAGGGCCTCCCTCATGACGGTGCTGACCTGAGATGTTGTTGACTTAAAGTTCTGCTGAATAACACTAGCTGACAATCTGACTCTAAGGTAGGCTTAGGTACCAAACTGCACACTGTTTTACTTGTGGGACTCATGGTTGGCAGAAAGTAAGATGGGGAAGAAGCCTGGACCTTGTATTGCTCTACAAGCAGCACAGTGGAGCCAAACTGATGCTTGTGTGGTCTTGGTGCTGGGTCAGGAGCACTGTCCTGATTTCAGCTAGGATAAAGTTACTTTTCTTCCTAGTAGCTGACATAGTGCTGTGTTTTGGATTGAGTATGAGAATAATGCTGATAATGCACTGATGTCTTAGTCATTGCCATGTAGTGCTTATGCTAGTCAAGGACTTTTCAGCTTCCCATGTTCTGCCAGGTGCACAAGAAACCAGGAGGGGGCACAGCCAGGACAGTTGATCCAAACTGGCCAAAGGGATATTTCATACCATATGACATCATGCTCAGTTTATAAACTGGGGGGAGTTGGCTGGGGGGCAGCAATCACTGCCTGGGGACTGGGTGGTCATCAGTTGGCAGGTGGTGAGTAGTTGCATCACTTGGGTTTTTCCCCCCCCCGGGTTTTGTTCCTCTTCTTGTTGTTTTCCTTTTCACTGTTATTAGTATTAGTATTATAATAATATTTCAATTATTAAACTGGTCTTAGCCCACAAGTTTTCTTACTTTTACCCTTCCAATTCTCTCTCCCATCCCACCATCCCACCGGGGCGGGGGGGGGGGGGGGGGGGGGGGAGCAGGGTGAGCGAGGGGCTGTGTGGTGCTTAGTTGCTGGCTGGGGTCAAACCATGACAAGCACATGGCTCTGTGTGGGACTTAATGATGTGCTGTCATTGTGTGACATTCCAGACTATCAAATAAAGGAAAGGAAGATG